AGAGCCGGGAGGGGATAAAATCTTTAACATTGTCATCTGGCATAGGAAAAGCAAAATCTACCCGCACAAACACTTGGCGGAAGTACTCGGGGGCTGACACTTGCAAAACCGACGCTATTATTACACGCGGAGCGTGTCTTTGGGCAGGTTTAGTCGCCGCGATGGCCGCGCAGCTCCGCCGGGCCGTCCCTGCAACACCCGCGGTACCTGCAGGGCGGCCAGGTCTCCTCCGTCAGGCGGAGCCCCGGCTTTACCCCACATCTGGGGACCCCCTCCCTCCCGCGCCGGGTGCCGGCAGACCGCCCTCGGCACCCCCAGGAGAGCCCGGCGGCTGGGTGGAAGCCGGCTTTGCTAAACCCTGGGCTCGGCGAGCTCGGACGGAGAGTGGGCACCTCGGGCTCGCGCGGTGGCTTTCTGCCACGGCTCCCGCGCAGTGACGAGGACGGGACGGGATGGAGGGGATGGAGGCAGTCTTGGGGGGCCTGGGAGGGATGGGGGGTCAACACAGCAACAACATCTTAGGCTGTAGGTGCCCTCCCGGAAAGTCTTTTAGCTTTTAAGCTACGAAATCCTTTTCAGCCCGTCGAAGAGACCAAAAGCCTGGGAAAGCAGAACCTGTCCAGAGGGCCGGGAGGGGGGGGATATCATCGCTCCCCCCGTGTTCAGTGCTCGCACTTTCCCCTCCGCGGAGTCCTCCGGCCCTTGGGGCCCGCGGAGTCCCGGCTCCCCGCGGGACGCTCCCGGGAGCCAGGGTCCTGCGTGTCCAGCGTGGGAGGCTTGGGGTGGCGCCTCCTCTCCCACCTGCTGAGGCTGATTTCCTCCTGAAAAACGCTTCCCCAAAGGCGAAGAGATCCTGCTCCTCGGCTGGCTTCTCGCCCAAACTTTGTTTCTCGCCTGGTCTTTCTCTCCGTCCCCGGGCGCTGGACAAAGCCGCCTCGGCCGGGAGAGCTGTGTAGCGGGGAGGAAAGGGAAAGGTGCGGCCCTGCTAATTCACCACCACTACCTTCGTGGGGGTGCCCTGACCCAGGCTTAGCTCCCCGCACATCTAGCCACCGCTGAAAAATTTCCCAAGGTATCTTGAAGGGAAGCCAGCCAAACCCATGCGGCGGTACCCCAGGTAACCCACTGCAAAATGCCGTGAGAGAGGAGCCCGTTCTGCGCAGGGAGCATGTCTGGTGATGCTTTTGGAGTCGGGCTGGTTTTTTTTCTCCACAAGGAGAGGTAGGCCCCTGCGTTTGCCCTGAATGTCCTTGTCTGCCCTTGAGATGGGAGGTGTCTCAGCCCCTCGGATGCCGGTCTCCCCTTTGCCTCCTTCAACAGGAGCTGGGAAGAAGGGTCCCGACGGCAGCCTTCAGGGAGATGTCTATAAAAAGAGTCACGCCTGTTACCCATTGCATAAGCAAAGAAAAAAAGAGGGGGGGGGCGCGAAAACAAAGCGGAAAAACCTCTCCAAACAAACATCGGGATCGCACGGCTACTGCCAGAGGTCCCGAGGAGTCAAGAGGTCCCGGGAGCAGCACAAAGGACGGGGCAGGCCGGCTGCGAGTCCCTTCCCACCCCGGCCTTTCTGCTCCCTCCGCCCCCCCCAGGCGCTCGCCCCGGGCCGCCGGGGCCGCCGGGGCCACTGGGGCCACCGGGACCGGCTGGCGGGGCCCGGCTGCTCGGCTCCTCCAGCTCGTTAAAATGCCCGCATGCCCCTCATGCGGAAAGGGATCTCTGTCAGCCGCTGTAGATCGAGATCTAAATCCAGGCTCCCTGAAACTGACAGTTGGAGGAAAATCCTCCAGGGCTTAAGGAAACGCACTTTTACAATACTGGAGGGATTTGTTTAAGTTTCAGTCTGGGCTTTAATTGAAAAAACGCTTCTCATCTGCAGGACCTCAGAGGAGAGGAAAGAGCCTGAAGCACGCAGTTAAAAAAAGGGAGGAAAAGAACAGAAAAAGAACAAAAAAAGGGGGGGGGAAGGGGGGGAAAGACTCCAAGATAACCGTAAACATTTATCTTTCATATTTGTCTCCCTTTTTCTTAACTGGTTTAGTCTAACTTATTTCATTTAGCCCACGAAGCAGAGGGGACTGTGTTATGAACATGAAACTGAAACCGCAATAATGAAGAGATTTCCTAGAATAAAACCGATGATTATAGAACAACATCTGAGTAACCAAATCTGCCAAAAAGTTTAATTTCCGTATACTCTGGTAAAACAAACCAGTTGTGCTCCAAAGCTGGGATCAGCTCAGAAATGGATACACCAACCAAAATAAACATCTCCACCAAACAGCAAATGCACTTCTGTTTAATCATAGGCGCTTCAAACCATCTTTTAAAGTCTCGGTACCATGCCTTGGAGACTTCTTAACGCTACGTTTCGAACAAGCGTCTGCTGCGACGAGGACGTTGCTAACAGGTAGAAGGCTGCTGACTGAACGCGTTACCCCCGATTCTCCTGTCGGGGCTGCGTCAAGTCGCGATTGAAGCAGCATGCGGCTCCCTGCCACCG